TCGAAACCTAGCAGAGACTCATGGTTTGCTGGCAGGAGCGGAGAGTTTTGCGCTTTTAAGCCCAACTATATTTTAGCTCATGTAGTCAGCCCATAATCGGCCCTCCGATTTGCATAGCTGATTGGGTTTTCTGACCCATATCTAACAACTGAGTCCAAACAATCGACTAGTCAGCCCAATAATTAAAGGCTACAACTCCGAATACATTGGCAAGATCTTCCGTCTATTTCTCAAACTTACCTCAAATTTTTGTATTAAATTTTTAAATTTTTATTGAAATAAATAAATCATTGAATTAAATGATATAGACAATTTAATTATTTTTTAAAGATAAATTTAATATTTATTTATATAGATAAAATCAATACTTATCATGTAAGTAATAATATATTAATATTACGAATGACCTGTTGGTTCGAATGGATGAAACTTGGTTTCTCTTAAATAAAGTATATAATTCGAGTCTTATGAATAGAAAAACATGTGTTAGGAGAGTTTTTCACCATATGGGATTCAACTTGAGTTGACTCCGAATTAGTTAAAATTCAACATGACTTCTAGATATCGATGTTAGTAAAAAAAATAATATATTAATATTTTATTTACACAAATGATACACAACAAATATTAAAATTACTTAAACAATTAAATTGATCTAATTACTTTAAAAATTAATTTAATTTAATAAAAATTTAAATTCTTAATTAAGAACTAAAGTAGGTTTGGAGTCTCAACTTAAGATTTTGCCAATACATTTCTCATCACAAGTCCTCCCCCAAACCAAACCAACCCAACCCAACCCAAATCCCAGTCGGCAACCAGCCTAGGAAGCAACGTCACTACGGGACAGATACGACATTAACCACTGTAACACGCGTCACTTTCTCACTGGACAGACCTAACTTTTCTCCTCCGTTGTCACGCACGACCTTCCCATCATGATTTTTAGTCGAGGAGTGGAGCCGACAAAAATTCCTAAGTCTAAAATATTTCTCTTTAATCTCTCAGAATTCTTTCCCATTCTATATATTTTCCTTTTTTTCTCAATAGAAGTCCTCGATTATCATCTCATCATCTCTTCAAGACCCCAATCTCAACCTCCTTCTTCTTCCTTTTTTTAGATTTCCATCTCTGCAATTCCTCTCTAAAACCATGGTGAGTCCCAGCTATTTTCTTCAATTTATAACTTATTTTCTTACTTGTATCATATCATTAGTACAAATCTAATTTGATTTATGATTTTTGGACTAATTTTGTATTTTATCTTGTAAATTTTTTTTAAAAAAATTTCGGAGATCTGATTTAGCATTGATGCTGGGAGTTTCTGTTGATCAAGTTAATATTTTTTAAGGATTTGCAATTTTTGAAATTTAGATTATTTAAAGTATCAGTTTTGATTGTTTATCGTGTTGGAATATTTCAGACTTGGAATCCAGTTGGATCTAAATTGTTTGAAACGTTGTAACTGTTGATTGTGAGTTTAAAGCTTTGTCATATTTGGATCATGGAGAAAATGTTGAACTGAGCCTGCATGGATCTGCAACTGAGATGCTTCAATGCAAATAGTGGAATTTTCTCATTGATTAGTAACTAATGTTTGCTTTTGCATTTGTTATAGATGCAATGATTTGAAATTTTGATCCATTTGGCAGAGATGTTATTAAACATTGAAATTATGATAATGTTTTGTTAATGATCCTTGAGCGGGTTTCTGAAAATTTGAAGGTTTAATATTTGATTGTCATCATAATTGCTTTCAGATTCTTGGTATTCTGGTGATTCTAGGAATGTTGATTCTCTATCTATTATGTTATCGAGTTTGATTCATGATTATTTCTTCTGATTTTGCATTTTATCTCAAATGTTATTAAGTTGGTTTTGTTTTAATCTGTGGTTTGTTTTTCCTCATCATAATTAAACTTAGGGGGATCCAACCCGTAGGGTGGCCCAGTTATTAATACCTTAGAGTTCTGAATGGTGTATCTAGGCCCATTAAATGTATCATGTTTCACCAAACGAGTGTGTTAGAAGTTGGAGAGGTGTCAAAATGTATGGGTCACTGTCTGGTACTCTGATACGGTGTTATGGGATTGGAAAACACGTGGGATGGATTGGTGTAGCTGAGTTAGTGGGTGGTTCAGTTAGGTTTCTTAGGAAAGTTGTTTTTTCATATTCAAGAATGCAGGTTGGAAGATGGTAGTATTGTGGACCGCTCCACTTTCTCTTCTGTTTAATTCAAAGTGAACCTACAACCAGCATTTTCTTTAATAATTTTGAGTCTTTGACCTTTCATGACATATTATTTTATAACTATTTGTTCTAAATTTTGATTTGTAATGTTTGTAATGCATGTAAATATTGTAAGACGGGTAGAGATAAGTTAAAGTATTTGTTGGTCAAACTAGTGTTAAAGCAGTCAGTGCTGTAAGGAACCTTCAGGAACCCATTAGAAAACGTTTTATTTTCACTCATCTTTGCAGGCTAATGCAGCATCTGGAATGGCAGTGCATGATGACTGCAAGCTAAAGTTTTTAGAGTTGAAGGCTAAAAGAACTTACCGCTTCATAGTTTTTAAGATTGAGGAGAAACAAAAGCAGGTTGTTGTGGAAAAAGTTGGTGAACCAACTCAAAGCTATGAAGATTTCACTGCAAGCCTCCCTGCTGATGAGTGCCGATATGCTGTCTATGATTTTGACTTTGTCACTGAAGAGAATTGCCAGAAAAGCAGGATTTTCTTCATTGCATGGTTGTATGATGTGCTAAAAAGTTAGTTGTTTTTGTTGTTTTCAAGCAGTACTTTTAACCATTATCATCTGTGTTTGTTGCTTTGCTCTTACATGAAGGTCTCCTGACACATCAAGGGTGAGAAGCAAGATGATTTATGCTAGCTCCAAGGACCGGTTCAAGAGAGAGTTGGATGGAATTCAAGTTGAGTTGCAGGCAACTGATCCTACTGAGATGGGACTTGACGTCATAAGAAGCCGTGCCAGCTAAATGCAAGATTCCTGCCATTAGTAGTGGACATTTTCTTGTTACCTACTGCTTAAATGTTGATAGGTTGTGGGGCTGTATGAACCTACCTGAATTATGATGTTGAGTTTGTTCCAAGTCTTATGTTACAGGCTTGTTTTCCACAAAAATAAGTTCAGTCATTTTCTCTTCTATCTTTTGTGATTGGGATTATGTGATGAGTGTCTCGTAGTTGAGCCTATTGGAAGAGTTGTATTAAGGAGATAGGAAACACTCGTTTGGGGATTATTTTTGCAACTTGGTTAATGGATATTTGGTATCGGTTAGTCTTGCATAAGCAGGTAGTTATGGCACCGAATAGATTAATGAAGTGCCTGTTTTTATCGATCGGTTTATTTAGATCTGATCACATTCTGTGTAAGTGCTATCTTGCTATCCTTGTTATAACTAGTGAACAAACAGTTCCATGAAAGGTGCATTGGTCTTATCACTGCTGATTAAGGAGTGCAATGTTATGAATTTTTTTTTATGATATATCTGATAATGATACGTTATATAAGGTAGTTCTCTTTATTTTAAAAAAAAATCTCTCTTTCATTCGACTTAAGAATTAAACTTGAGATATTTAATTTGAAATCTCAAAGTTGAGATTTTTAATTTAAAATCTTAAACTTTCAACTATTATGTCACTCATGTGAGCAAGCCGTGCGAATAGAATATAAATATCCTTGCAGTTGCCTTAGAGGGGCCAATGGTACTAACCATTGAAAAGTGCATTTCTCCCTCTCCTCCGCCCCATATCAAAAAAGTTCAAAAAAAAAATGTCACTCTTGTGAGGTTATAAATTTCCTTTGTTATATTACTTGTCAGGATAAAATCTCCTGCAAATCATGTAGCTCCATGGCATTCCTCATATTTCTTTTTGTTTGTGAGATGATCAAGTAAACAGCCATTTATTGAAGTGGTATATGCCACAACATTTGGGTGCATCCTTCACCAACCATTACATTCCAAAGCCTAAATGCCTCCCTAAAATTTCCTGCCTTGATGTTTTCATCAATCATGGTTTGAATATAGTACGTTATCAGGCCTAAATCCCTAATCATGCATCTCCTTCATGGTTAGTTATTGAACAATCTCTGATCAAACAGGTAGAACTACAATATTTTAAGAATTATTTTAAGCTTACAGTTCAAATGTTGATTATCTGACTTTATTTTTGTGTATAATTTACAGTTTCAGAAAACTGCAGAGCTGCTTCTTGATTTGGAAGTCAGCTCCATTGTCAGCAGCTCAAAGAATGGTTGCATTGAGACGGCTATGATCATCTTTAAAATAAGCTTATAACTTATTGCCCATTAGTCAGTGTATGAGGTCATATTCTCTCTCTCGGTGAATAACTTGTGTCCCATCAATAAGTATAGTGTAACGAACAAGATCCATGTCCATGTCTCATGCTACCATCTCTATGAAGCCTCAATGAATCCCCTAAGTAGTACTTGTAGTAACCATGTAATAGTGCAGCATCACTCATTTATAGAATTATTTATACTTTTATTTATAGATTTAGAATTCAATTTATAATCCACATATATATCTATATGTAAAAGTGTGCTATAATACATTGTATTTAACTTGTGATGGTCTCTATGAAACTCATCCACAAATTCTATGGCTTCAAATATTTACCCTTCCTTCTAGTAGAACAAACACCACTTAACAGAGACATGTAGGTATAAGGTACAAGTGATTTAGGATCAAGTTAGAATTATTTTAACTTACACTATTAATTACTAGTCTGTAGGTTTTTTTTTGTACAGTTTCTATTTTGCCAAATTATTCTTTATATTTAGGGTTTTATTTATATAGGTAGTATTTACTCAACTAAAATTATGTGCATTAAAGAAATAATTAAACATATTCAATCAATTTAAAATTTAATGTATATCATTAACATTAAACAAGTATTTGTTAAATATACTCCCTCATTTATAAGATAATAATAGATTCTTTTTATATTTTATTTTCAAAATAAAAATTGGAGAATAATATTTATTTTTTGACTTATTTTACTCTTAAAAAATTAAAATATATAATTTTTTTATAATATTACAAATAATTAAAATTAAGAAATAATAATAAAATTAAAAAAATATATTTATCTTTTTTTAAAAATAAAAAATATTATTATTTTGAATTAAATTTTAAATAAAAAATATTATTTTAGAACAAAAGAATAAATTGCAAAAAGAATTTTTAACTGATACAAGTATTGGAGTACATAATTTCATTCTGACTCGATGCAAGTTTAAGGACCGTTTTTACTATACCATAAAAAAAATGGACCATTTGTGCAAGTGATTTTACTGTAGAATTTTTGTTTTCTCTTTGCTAGGAGGGAGAGAAAAAAATGCAATTCGATTGGCGGGATTTCAAACTCCTCGGTTTTCCAATGCTAAGCTCAGCAATCCAATCCACATAAAATCAACTAATAGCATGATGCCACGTTTCTACCTGTCTTCTCACGAAACCGTCATTCACGCAAATTTTCTAAACCGTCGATCCCAGTTTTTCAAGCCCCTGATAAATCGGACGGCCCATTTTTCCCACGTCATCCATCCGCGTTTTTTAAATGCCCCAATCAAACACAAGCTTTGTTCCTTATATAAAGTCAAACGCAACCTCTCCGTTTTCTCATTCTCACCGTTCATATTCTCTTTCTGTTGCCTCCGTTTGTTTCTTAGGCAAAAGGTAAAAAAAAAATCATGGCACCGAAAGCAGAGAAGAAGCCAGCGGAGAAGAAGCCGGCGTCTGAGAAGCCTGCTGAGGAAAAGAAGACGGTGGCTGAGAAGGCCCCGGCAGAGAAAAAGCCAAAAGCCGGCAAAAAGCTACCAAAGGATGGAGGTGCTGCCGCTGGAGAAAAGAAGAAGAGGCGGACGAAGAAGAGCACCGAGACCTATAAGATCTACATCTTCAAGGTCTTGAAGCAGGTCCATCCTGACATCGGGATCTCGAGCAAGGCCATGGGGATCATGAACAGTTTTATCAATGATATTTTCGAGAAGCTTGCTCAAGAAGCTTCGAAGCTCGCTAGGTACAACAAGAAGCCAACTATCACATCGAGGGAGATCCAGACTGCGGTGAGGCTTGTTCTTCCGGGTGAGCTTGCCAAGCATGCCGTGTCTGAGGGGACCAAGGCGGTGACCAAGTTTACTAGTTCTTGAAGTGGCGGCGAGGGTAATGGTCTCTAGGGTTTGTGAATGTTGCAGTTGGGAAATTTAGGGCTAGGAGTTTAGTTATAGGGTCTTGCAATGGTGAAAATGATTTTCTTTTGCCTTTTGATTAGGTTATTATGGTGGATGTAAGTAGTATTGATATGATTCTGGGGTGATCATAATGAATGTTGGTTTTTTGTTTGTTAATTTGAGGTGCTTCTTTTTTACGCAACAAGATTTTCAATTTTTCTTTTCCCTTTAATTGTATGGTTGTCTATGTTGTTTTGCTTTAAAAACGAAAAAATGGTGATTTTTTTTGTTGGTATAATGTATCCATTCATGCTTGGTGGGAACCCATGTCTAATAGCCTTTTTCATGGTTTCAATTGGGACCTCTATGGATAGAGCCTGGCCCTGTTATAACAAAAAGGTTGTGGGGAACAAACTTTTTAATAAATTTGATAAATCGAAAAAGTGTAATGCACTTTTGTTTTAGATGGCAATATACTAATTATTGAATGAGTTAAGTTTATGGTTATTTATTTATTTATTTTACAGTTTATTTCTTTCTGATTTATAAAATAAGGGTCATTGATAATAACAAATATCTTCCAAATATGAGAAAGAAATCAGAAAAACCTTTTTGGAAATATCTGGATGATTTCCTGCCAATCAAAACGACAAAACAAACAAATCATGGTAAGGCCTCACATCATCTTTCCTTAAAGCCAATGTTTTATGAAATCAAGTGGCATAGACATACCGCAAATTCTGGGGACACTGAATATAAAACAGAATTGGAAGGAACTCTTTTACATAAGCTACTCTCGTGATCTTTCCCTGTTTTCTACCAGGGGATGAAGCAATACTGCCCTGTTGATATTCTTGTTTGCACTAAGTAGGTGGTACAGAATTGGTAAAAAGGAAAACTTAAATAAACCTGTACACATCAGATTGGATGGTTTTGAAGGGTAAGGTTGGATGGCACTTGAGCTCCACATGAACAGGTTTCAAGGTTAGTTAAATTAAAACGATATTAATTTGTTCTCTTGGAAATTGTAAGAGAACTTTGTTTCCCAACACATTTTTGGATAAT